AGGGTAACACCATCTGTTGAAAAAACATCTTGCTATTTTTCTTTTCCTGAAGTGTGTATACCTTTTTTGGCAGACTATATATATATGATTTACAAGGTAGGCTTACAGTGGCTATGCGCAGAGTCAGGTGTGAGAACATAAAGGTCCTGTCTGCATGCTGGAGATCTGAAGAGCTGACACCACAGTTAGCTATGACAAGCACGGTGTATTAATCTGCTCTCTGCTATTCAGCACTACACTGCATGAATGTGCCATGTGTCTCAGTTACTTTTCTCTCATTCCTGAAACAAAATACCCAACATCCAAAGTTAAAGAGGGAAAAGTTTATTTAGCTCACAGTTTGTAGAGGATTCAGTCCATAATTGGCTGGCTCCAAGGCAGGGTGGTTTGAAAGAGGGGCATAGCATAGAATCAGTTCATGGCAAGCAGAAAGCAGCAAAAGCAAGCAAGCAAGGGACCTTAACAGCATTTTTCTACCCCTTTTATTTTATCCAGACTACTTAGGGAGGGTAGCAGTCACACCCTTAATCCTGGTGCCCTTGAGCCTAACATTGCACCATGAATCAATTCCAGCCGTCACACTAGATCCAGCCACCTCTGAAGAAGCTCCACCTATGACAACATGAGGCTTTGAGGGGACAGCTAGACATGAGCTTACTTTCTCCCCACTCTCCCCTCCCAAATGCCGCAGTGAAGATGAGACACACCCTAATGTATGTGTGTGTGTGTGCACATGTTATTCAGAAGCTATTAGGTAAACTCACTCTACCAATTTTCACATTGCTGCCAGCAATAGAAGGTCACTCTGTCACTCTGCAATCTTGCTATTACTTGGCATTTAATTTTTTACCAATCTGGTGGGTGCAAAGTCATGTATTCCTGTGGTCATAGTTTCCATTTCACTTTTAATGAAGTTGGCCATCTCTTCATCTGTTTATGGGTATTTATTCTGTGAAATGTCTGTTCCTGAATTTTGCCCTTTTTTTTTTTATTGGATTGATTTTTATTAGGATTGGGGATGAAACTCAGGAATACACTATCACTGAGCTACACCCCCAACCTTCTTTATGTTTGGTTTTTTGGGGTTTTTTCTGGTACTGGGGATTGAACTCAGGATCTTGCACTTGTGAGGCAGGTGCAGTGCCACTGAGCTAAATCCCCAGCCCTTCTTTATGTTATTTTTTATTTTGAGAAAGCCTCTCACTTAGTTGGCCAGGCTGGCCTCAAATTTATGATTCTCCTGCCTCTACCTCCCTAGTAGCTGAGATTACAGGCATGTGCTGCTCTCCCTAGCTGTAGAAATTCCCAAAATATCCTAGGGCTCTTTCATTTGTCAGTTGCACATGTGGCAAGATTCTTCTTCAGTTTGTGGTTTGTCTTTGTACTCTATATTTTAGTGAACACAAATCTTACTGTTAATATAATCAGATTTACCAGTCTTTTCCCTTATCATTTCTTCTTCGTCTCCTTCTTCTCCCTCCTCTTCCTTTTCCTCTTCTTTTACTGCTTCTTTTTTTGTTTGTTTGGTTTTTTTTTGTTTTGAGACAGGGTCTTGCTCTGTAATTCAGGCTGCCCTTGAACTCATGGCAATCCTCCTGCTTCAGCCTCCTGAGTGCTGGGATTACAGGTGTGCACCACCATGCTTGGCTTTTCTTCCTTTTTGAAAAGAAAGAAACCTTTTCTATCCTGTGGTAGCCTCAGCAAAAACCTGATCTGTACAAAGGTGGAAAAATTTCTGAGATCCATTCTTTAAAGGAAGCTGACCATAGAATGGAAAATAATAATATGAATCATTTGTGTATAAGCTAGGTGAGGGAGATACACACATATGTTTATAGGCATATAAAATATTTCTAGAAAAAATTTTACAAAGCAGCTAACAGAAGTTTCCTGCATCTCTAGGATGGAAACCAAGGTAGAAAGAAAATAGAAAATAGATTTACCTTTCACTATAAATGCTTTTGTATGACTTCAGTATTTCCCTCTGTTGCGTATATTAACATTTGAATTAAAGGGCTAGGGATTTAGCTCAGTGGTTCTGCTGCCTGTCTTGCAAGTGCAAGGACCCGAGTTTGATCCCCAGTACCAAAAATAAAAAATAAAAAAATGAATTAAAATTTTTATTTTTGCAGTGCTGGGGACTGAACCCATAGCCTCACACATGCTAGCCAAGCACTCTTACCACTGAGTTATACCCCAGCCCTCAAAATTTTTTAAAATAAAGGAAACTGTGCTCTTAGATACTTCTGAGGGGCACTGCCTTGCCTTTCGCCTCTCTCTGCCCTCCATTCACACGGGATCTGTCTCGACAGCAGGCGAAGCTGGACAGTTTCACAGGCCCGTCCCTGACCCCAGGCCCAAGCTGGCTGATGGGTATCCTGCCTTCAAGAGACCCCACATGACTGCCAGAGACCTGGGACTCCCTGGCTTCTTCCCAACACAAGATCCAGTGGCCAGCATGGAGGACATGGGCCCATTCAGCAGCACCTGCCCCTCGGGGTACCCGGCCTCCCTGGCCCTGCACCTGGCCTGAGGCCCCCCGAACCTGCTTCAGCAGAGCACCGGCTTCCCGTGCCTCCTGGAGCCCGAGTGCCAGCCTGCTGCCAAGGAGGGCAGAGGCTACCTGCTCCTGCCTGGCTGTCACTGCCCTTGGCACCAAAGAACCAAGGTCCCCATCTTGTATTGCTGGGGACCCCTGGTGCCATTTTACCAGTAGGAAGAGGGACAACTCATGCCTTGGGCCGTTCCAAGGGCTCATGGATATCCCGGGCCACTGCTCAGTCCTGCAGGCCGGAGACGGGAATTAAAAATTAAACTGGAAAGATCCTCCAGCAGCCCCAGGACTGCAGTCTTTCACCCCATCCTCCAACTTGCCTGGGTCTGCAGCCACCCTACAGAGGGAGGGAGGCAGGGAAAGTCAGAGTGGATGGAGAACTGAAGCATGTGTTGGATTTTATTATAGTTTACACTGCCCAGGCCTGGTGGTGCACACCTGCAACCCCACTGCTCTGGGACACTGAGGCAGGAGGTCGGACTGTTCAAGCCCAGACTGAGGAACTTAGTGACTTAGCAAGACCCTGTCTCTAAATAAATAAATAAATAAATAAATAAATAAATAAATAAATAATAGAAAATAAAATAAAAGGGGCTAAGGGCTGGGGATTTAGCTCAGTGGTTTCGCTGACTGCTGTGCAAACTCAAGGACCCGAGTTCAATCCCCGGTACCAAAAAAAAAAAAAAAAATCCCTAAAAGGGGCTAAGAAGTAGCTCAGTGAGAAGGCCCTAGGTTCAATCCCCAATACCACACACACACACACACACACACACACACACACACGCAAATGTTGGGTATGGTGGCACATACCTGTAATACCAGCACTTAGGAGGCTGAGACAGGAGGATCCCTATGTGTTTGAGGCCAGCCAGGGCTACATAGCGGTTCAAGTTCAGCCCGAACTACATAGCAAGACACTGACTTAAAAACAAAACAAACAAAAACAAACTTCTACATACAGATTGTTTTAGGCATTTATTTCCTGGTAGGGTTTGAATGTATCCCCCAAACCTTGGGGATTAGCTTTATGTGTTGGAATCTGAATCCCCAGGTTACAGGTTACTTGTTTTGGAGCTGCCTTTGGGAGGTCACTAGGATTAGATCAGGTCATGAGGGTGAGGACCGTGTGACAGAATTAGTGTCTTTGGAAGAAGAGGAAGGAACTGAGCTGCTGCACCTGCTCTGCCTCACAAGAGATGCCTCCCCCCAGGAGCTGAGCAGAAAGCTGGGAAAAAAATCTGCATTCTGGGTGGCCAAAGGGCCAGCTAAAAATGAGGGGCTTGTTAGTATAGATGGACAGGCTACATCCTGATGGATGACTATAAATTGGTGCCCTTCTCACTTGTCCGCTCTGTGAAATGGGTGTAAGAATTCCTAAGACCAGAGATGGAAAGGATGAAGGCAGATAACATCTGCAGCTGTGTTTTGTAAACTCTAAGGATATCCACATGCAAAGATTGTCACACTGCCCCCAGCCCCCAGCCCAGTTTCTGCAGCCAGCTCAGGAGGTCCCTCCAGGGCCCAGGAATGACAAAGAGCAGCGCTGGGGGTACCTAAAGGTGGGGGTGGGGAAACAGCGCTGGGCGGCAGGGTGGCTACCGGAGAGGGAGCAAAAGAGGAGTCAGATCATTCTGCTTTGTATTAACAATCAGAAGGAACATTTTATTAACCTTCAGAGTTTTCTAAAGTGCATTCATGTACGTTTTTATGTGTTGGGCTCCTCTGCTGTTCAGTCCCTCGCAGGGAGGAGGTCTCAGCAGAGATTCGTAGAGACCATGACCCCAGTCATGGCCTGGGAGCGGCAGTTTCCCTCAGGAAGGGGTCACGGGGGCAGGGGAGGTAGAAATCTGGCAGCAAAGAGAAGCCAGGGAGCACTGAGGCTTGGGGAAAGGCTCCTGGCTCTTCCACTCCTCCCAATCCGCAGCGTGGACACCTGCGAGCCCAGGAGTCGACTCTACCTGGGGATGCCCGGCCGCTTGCACAGGATGGGAAGCAGGGAATAAACAGCAGATTTCTGCTGTAAAACACCCTGTCCATGCTTCAAGGCTGGAGTGGGGGACAGCAGTTCTGAGGTCTGGTGAGAGGAACCAATGAATGCACCTGAAATCTTGCTAAATGTCTCATATTGCTTGGTATGTTTTGAATCTTACTATTTTTGTGTGTGTAGAAGAAAGTTATATTTTTTTTGTATTACTTTTATTACACAAATTTGCAGGACATGAGTACATTCATCGAGGGGAGCTGGTACATGTACAAAACACTCCACCTCTCCTACCCTTCCTGCATCCCTGGGTCTTCTTCCTTTTGCAAGAGATCTATGTCTCTACTTCCTATTATCTAGCTTTTATTTTGTTTTTTTAATTTATGTGTTAGGTTTCTTATACATATGTTAATTAAATGATATTTGAGCTTGTGTATCTGATTATTTCACTTAACATGGTGGTCTCAAGTGCATCCATTTTCCTACAAGTGACTCCAGTTTATCCTTCTTGATAGAGTATAAATATGACGGTTTGGATTTTCAATGTGTGCAAAGGCTTGTGTGCTGACAGCTCAGTCCTCAGTGTGGTCAGGAGACGGAGGGACTTTTAGGACCTGGGATCTTGTAGAAGGAAGTTTGGTCACCAGGGTTGTGCCCTCGAAGGGGACATGGATTCTGGCCTCTTTCTCCTGTTTCACTTCCTAGCCACCCTGAGGTGAGCATCCCCCTCCACCACGTACCCCTGCCATGACCGACCGCCTTGTCACATGCCCTGACAACACAGCCAAGGAACATGCACTGAAGCCTCAGAAGCGGCGAGGTAGAACACATCTTCCCTCCTTTACATTGATCATCTCCAGTGTTTGTCCTAATGGTGGATGCTGACTACAGACTGACTATGTACTTTAAGGTTTTAATCAACCCAGAGTTCCGACGTGTACAGTTGTACTGCTTCCGAGCCAGTTCTCACTCAGCCTGTTTTTCCAGACTTGAGGAACCTGGAAAGGATAACGGATCTCCCTAGAACAGCCCCTTTCCCTAGCAGTTGCTCAGCAGAAATTAGGAGAACTAACCCTTGCCTAGCTGCATTTGCCCTTCCTGGTACAGTCTGCCTGCTTAGCAGCCAGGCTATGGCTAGTCCAGGGACAGGGCTCAAACCAACCTCAATCTCACCACCGGCCATCTCAAACCTTAACGTGCACGAGTCACTTGGGATTCTTGTGAAAAATGTAGATTCTGAGCCAGCCGGTCTGGGATGGAAGTTAAGAGTCTGCATTTCTTTGGATGCCCCTAGTCCAGCTGCACAGTGTGAGTGGCAAGGCCTGTCACTCTGAGGCTTCAGGGCACTTTGGAATCAGCTGGGAGCTTTAGAAAATCCAGGGCTAGAAGTGCAGCTTAGTGGGAGCTTAGCATGCACAAGGCCCTTGGTGTCATCCTCAGCACCAAAATAATCATAATGCTAATCCTATGCCTGGGCTCCAAACCCACAGGCTGTGATCTACAGGGCTGGAGTAAGGCCCTTTGGCAGCACTGCGGCTTGAACCCAGAGCCTTATGCGTGCTGGGCCAGCACTGTGCTACTGAGCTCCACTGCGAGCCCTGAGGGGGCCGTTTCATATGGATCACAGTATTCTTGCATGGAATCAGGATTGAGAAGCGTTACCTTAGCATCCCATAGGAACTGTATTTAAAAGAGTCATTTCTAGGAAGTCATCCTTAAAGTTTTTGCTTCTATACATCTTGGAAGAGGCCCTGGAAGAAAAGTCATGCGTCCCTGGGGATTCAGCCACAGGTGAACACACTCACACTTGGAACAGAGGACAGGTCATGAAGGTGCCCAGTGCTGGGGTCCCTCACACTCGCTGGGGGTCAGGATCACCATAGGGTCACGCTGACCTGACCTTCAGGTACCCATTTTCTGGCACTGCAGTAACAATAGGCAAACCACACTTCAAAAACCAATCCCTAGTGCAGGATGGCAGTGCAAGCCTGGAATCCCTGCACTCTGGGAGAGTAAGGTAGGAGGGTGAAAATTGCCCAGCCTGGGCAATGTAGTGATTTAGCAAGACCCTGTCTCAAAATTTGTAAAAAATACATAAATAAAATGCTGGGAATGCAGCTCAGTGAGAAGGTCCTGGATTCAAGCCCTCCCTTTCAGTTACCCCGTTTCCCCCAAAGAAAACCCCCAATCCCTTTCCTGTCTTTCCCAGGAAGGGTAACATTGCACATACCTTCGATGATGATGGTGGTGGTGGTGGTGGTGGTGGTAATGGTACTGGGTTTCAACCCAGGGCATTTACACTGTGCTTCATCCCCAGACCTTTTCACTTTCTAAAGACAGGATCCTGTCTGTGCTAAGTTGCCAGGCTGGGCTTGAATTTGCTACCACACCCATTTCTGTGTAATCATTTCTAATTCCCAAAGTGGAATTGCTGTGTTGAGGTTTTCATCACACTTTCACTTAAACAGGTAGATCTTTAAAATGTTTGCCATCTAAGTCTGGAAAAATGGGATCCCATTGTTGCTTTCGTTTGTATGTCCCTGATGATTAGCCCTGACTGGGTTCATTTCATGGATTTTTTTGTTTTTTTGTGTTTTTTTGCTTTTTTGAGACAGGATCTCCCTATGTCGTCCAGGCTGGCTTTGAAATCATGATGATCCTCCTGCCTCAGCCTCTTGAGTGCTGAGATTACTAGTGTGTGCCACCAGGCCCAGCTCATTTCATTGATTTTTTAAAAACTATTTACAATTCACCTGTGATTTGGCTGACTAGGTGCATCGTGGGTAATTCCTTAGACTCTGGAAGCCTCAGTTTCTACCCTGTAAACTGGGGACATACTATATCCCGAGGTTGTACAGCGGATCGGGTGAGAGTTCGCGAGTGCACTCTGCCTAGGATTGATCTGGCACACATCAGCGATGCAGCAGCAAAGCAGCCCGGCCTTTGCTCGGTGCCTGTCGACCCCACGTGGCCCCAGGCTGAGCGCCTCTTTCTCCTGGGCAGGCGCCACTCCCGGCTCCCGGGCTCCGGCATCCTCGCCCCTCTCATCTCCAAAGCCTTGGGGCTGCACCACTCCCGGGTCCCGGCGGGGGTCAGAGGAGGGGAGACCCCGGGCCACCCCTGCTGCCGCCCCCAGCCTAGGGGCATTGTCCTGCGGGGAGGAGGCATCGCCAGGCCTGGC